GCTCAGGCAGGGAGGCAGGCAGAGCCCGGGGAGGCAGGCAGGGGATGCCCGGGCGGGGAGGCAGGCAGAGCCTGGGGAGGGAGGCAGGCACCGCTCAGGCAGGGATGCGGGCAGTGATGCCCGCGGAGGGATGCAGGCAGTGCCCGGGGAGGGAAGGAGGCAGCGCCCGGGAAAGGAGGCAGGGAATGCCCGGACCGAGTCGCAGGAAGCCAGGAGGGAGACCGGCTTCTCCCGGGGCTCTGGGGAGGTGCCGATGGGAAAAGACCCTCCCATGTCCCCCCTGCAGTGCGCTGGGTGCAGCACCGTCACCCCTTCCCTCCCCGGCACCTGGCAGCATCTGTCCCCTCACGCCCACCCGTGGAGCCCCCTGAGGCCGGACTCCTTTGGGGGAGGAGGGTAGGACCCCTCCCGGGGAGCCCTTCCCTCCTCTGACACTGCTGCTCAGCGTGCTCTTGGGCACATCACTTCACCTCCCTGCTGTGCCAGCCCCCGGTGCAGCTGGCAGGGCTGGGGGTTTCTCTGTGCCCGCTGTCACCGGAGGGTGCTCGGTCCGGGGTGGTGCCAGGCCCCACCAAGGGAGGGACATTCCTGTTGCAGCGGCTGCATTTCTGGGGCACCCTGCACCAAGCATTTACCTGCGTGCTGGATAGCGAGGAAGGTGCTGGTCGCACCCCTGGGGAGCATGGGCCAGGCCCCCGCAACACGCTGCCGATGGACGCCCCGCACCTCTCTGCTCCTCGAAGCAGACCCTGAGCCCTGCTCCAGCTCACCGTGACACCAGCGAGCACCGGGGTGTCCCCGTGGGTCTGGCTGCGACCACGCAGGCTTGGCTGAGCCCAAACACCGGCCACAGCACAGCCGGGCTCCCCTCAGCCTTGTCAGCACCTTTGGCCGGGAAAAACATCACCTCCAGGGCCTCCTCTCCAGAGTGAGGAGGGGGTACAAGCGGAAACACATTGCCATATCCTTCCTAGGAGAAAAGGGGACAGCAGACACAGCCCCATGGCTTGGGGGGACAAGGACAGCTGGCAAAACGTGGGGCAGCCTTTGTGCTGCTCTGCACCAAGGCTGGGGCTGAGATCAGCACCAGGCAAAGGGAGCCAGAGCCCCTTTTCCATCTCTCTCATTACACCGGTGCTTTCAGAGATTTGGGGCTTATTTCCCTGCAGAGCTGCCTGATGCTCACAGCTAGGGAAATATTTAGGTGTCCCTGGGGGTTATTACCAGCCCTAGATGCTGCTCTTCTTCCACAGCCCCCAGTTCCCCTTCCCTGCATCGCCATAGAGCAGCCCTCAGCCCTGAAACATTTCAGGGAGAGGGCAGGGATCGCGGCTGCACGTGAACTCTCCCGTACAATTCAGGCTCCAGCCTCAGGGCTATTTTTAGCAGTTCCCTCCAAGATGCTCTTCACTTGCAGTTTTATTTGTGAAATTTAATATATGAGGGAGGGGGGAGGGGAGCGGGGCTGGATCCTGGCACGGCCTCCCTGGCTGGGAGCTTATCCCAGCCTCAGTGACAGGAGACTGACACAAACCTCAAATCATCCGTCACAGAGTCCCCGCGTCCTGCACGCAGGCGGCAGCAGGGGACAGGCAGAGCTGATGGCTCGGGGGTCTGCGGTCAGCCCCTGCCTCTGCCACAGCCTCCAAAATCTTCAGGCGAGTCCCTGCCTCTCCCGGTGCTGCATGGTGGGCTCGGGGACCTGCTGCCACCCGATGCTGGCCCTTGGCACGCGCACTGGCACGGAGCAGGATGCGTGCGAGGCCGGCAGGAGCAGCAGGGATTTTGGGGAGCCCAGCCAGCACAGCAGGGCTGGCCCCATCTCCAGCCGGAGCAGCAAGGAGCAACCCGGGAGGTCCCTGCCCCACGGCGTGGGCCTCGAGAATGGGGAAGGCTGTGGGGACCATCCACCCCCGTGGCAGCTCCCAGCCCAGGGAGCATCGCCTGCGTCCCCTGAGCTCCCAGCACCGGAGGCTAACGATGCTAATGAAGCAAACCCAGTTTGCAAGGTACAGCGTGGCCCGGGGTTGGCGTGTCCCTGTTTAAGGGCCATGAGTGTGCCTGCAAATCCAGAGCAGCAGGAAAGACCAATTTCTCCCAGAGGAGCCCCTGGCAGAACAGGAAGGGAGGGAGAAACCTTTCCCTTTGCCATGGGACACGAAAGGGACAGCAGCTGACATGGCAAAGCCCTGAGCATTTTGCAGCAGCTTTTGTTCCTGTTGGGCCAAATGCTGCCCCAGGCTCACCCCCAGCACCACAGCAGGAGCAGACCCACAGCAAGGAACCACCATCCCATCCCATCCCATCCCACCCGCACCAAGGATGCACAAAAGGACACAACAGCAATATCAGTGACCCCAAACCAGCCCGTCACTGTTGCTACGAGACACGTCCACCAGCTTCTAACACAAAAACATCCCAGTGCAGAGCATCAGGGGCTGATACGGTACCTGCCACCCCTAGTCCTCACAGGGTAGATGTTACCTCATCTCCAAGTGCCACTAAGCCAAGG